TTTTACATGTATTTGGATCAAGTCCTTGGTCACTTGCATTCATAGATTTCTTTGTATCCAGCTTCTCATTCTTTACTGCTAATTCTATTCCTTCATCTTTGTCAAATCTAATCTCTGATTTATCAGAAGAGTGATTTCCATCAGTGCCTTTTTTCCCGGCTTTGGAAGACTGACCTTTCTTGTTCCTTGCTCGACCTTTCTTGTTCTTTGCTTCTTTTTTCTTGCCACCAGCATGAACTCTGTACTTTCGCAAATCCTTGATCTGTTCAAAAAGATTACAAGTACATACATCGATATCAACACATGTATCTGTTCTAGATTGAGTTGGCAAATTGCTTGCTATGTCTGCCCAGGATCGTGTTTGTGCCGTTTCACTTTGCACACACATGTCATTATACAACTTCATTGCATGTGGGGACTGCACACTGTAGGCATATAAACCTAAAAGAGTTTCTGTGTAAGATTGAACACTGATATCTTTTTCTCGGATTTCACCTTCTTTTCTTTACAATCAACTTTCTTTCGGTCTTCCTTTTTTTTCCTGCTATGGCTTTCATAGAATGTCTTCATTGCTTTGCCGATGTAAGTTACACCAGGTTCTAAGACTTTGCCATTCACTGATTTTCTTCTGATTTTCCTGTCTGTTTGATGATCATCTATTGATTTGGGATACAATTTTCTTGATTTTAGTTTCTCCACCCATTTCGTCTTCCTTGATTTCACAATTACCCAGTCATCCTCAAATTTTTCATTTTGCATCTCTTCGTGTTCTATTTGGGATGGATTTTCCATAGCCAAAGGATTATGTCTATCAGACTCATTTGTTTGCCTGTCAGTTATATGATGTTGTGTTCCTCTCAATCGATTGGTTTTCTTTCCCTTTTTACCATACCTCTTCTTTGATCTGCCACATTTTCTTTTGTTGGTCGTACTTGATAGGGTCCTTGATTGGTTCAAATCCAAGTAACAGTGTTCATCATGATCACCAAGAAGTTCGTATCTATTGAAATGAGAAGGGATGCATACTTGATCAAACATGCGATGAGCCATGTTGTTATTGCCACAAAATGAACAAATCCAGATCAATGTCAGGTCACTCAGTCTGTCTTCACAGGGAATCCCATACATGTCACATGAAAATGCTTACTACAACAGTCACATCTTGCATCACTTTCATTTTCTTTGATTTCATTGTTACAGATACAGCATTCATTAAGATCTGGGTTGGTCACCAATGCACAACTAGTCAGTATATTCATGATTTCATCAAGTGTTTTCTTAAATTCAATTGTATCCATCATGGTAAATTTTGCTTATATACTTGCAACAGTTCTGGTTAATAATTACAAGTCTACAATTAACGGTTCTGTAACTTTGATATATAATGTTCTGTATATATTCCTTACTCCAATAGTCTTTTATTTAAATATTCCTATTGTGAATTATGAAAAACTAATCCTTACTGATATTAAACTCTATGGTATTTCAATAGCCTAGCTTTATATACACTAGCTTGTACTGTGTTAAGGAGCTATAATGTTTTTGTCTCAAGATGGCGTTTTTATTAAAATTATGAGTAGGTCATTAATAGCCTAAATGTATTGTAGGCCTATATAAGTTCCCAAATTGCTAATTTCTTTGTTACTCTCTCTCTGCAAACAGGTTCACTTTATATCCTGATCAAAATATCTTTCTTATTCTTTCTCAAATCAATCAACCTCACTTATATTTCTAAAACTATATATTTATCCTGACCCAATCTTCTTTCTTACTCTCTCTACAATCAAGCTTACTTTTATTTTTAAAATTCTGAACACTATATATCGAAGGATTTCTTTCCTTTTCTCTTTACAATCAACAACGCTCACTTTTCTAGGACTCTATATATTGACACAAATTTTGTGTGATTATGGTCTTATCAAGTTCTAGGAATTAGAATTAAATTGCTTTCTCGCTATTGTTCTTCTTTTTATTTCAGTTTGTTTTTAATTCCTTTTAGAAACTGCCAAATATTTCTTTCTAATTTACAGTAATTATGTCTTCTAAAATGGCAATACAGTCTTTCAAACTTGCAATATTGCCTTCTTCACACTATTTTGTTCAATCTTCTTTATTCTTTGCTGTGTATACGCTCTTTTTACTTTCCCAAGATTACTAATACTACTGTTTTGAATTCTAATAGAGGTCTTATCAAGTTCTAGGAATTAGAATTAGATTGCTTTTTCTCTATTGTTCTTCTTTTTATTTCACTTTGCTTTTAATTCCTTCTAGAAACTGCCCAGATTTTTTTTCTAATTGACAGCAATTTTGTCTTCTAAAATACAGTCCTTAAAACTTCCAATATTATCTTCAACGACTACTTTCCAATCTACTTTACTCTTTAAAATGTATACCTCTTTTTTTCTTTCCCAAGATTTACAATATTACTGCTTTCAACTGTAATTATGGTCTTATCAAGTTCCAGGAATTAGAATTAGATTCCTGTTCCTCTATTATTCTTCTTTTATTATTGCAGTTTACTTTTAATTCCTTCTAGAAACTGCTAATAATTTCTTTGTAATTGACAATAATTATGTCTTCTAAAATGGCAATACAGTCCTTCAAACTTCCAATATTTATCTTGAACGACTACTTTTCCAATCTACTTTACTCTTTAAAATGTATACCTCTTTTTTTTCTTTCCCAAGATTTACAATATTACTGCTTTCAACTGTAAGTATGGTCTTATCAAGTTCCAGGAATTAGAGTTAGATTCCTTTCCCTCTATTGTTCTTCTTTTTATTTCAGTTTACTTTTAATTCCTTCTAGAAACTACCAATAATTTCTTTATAATTGACAATAATTATGTCTTCTAAAAATGGCAATACAATCTTTAGAAATATTCTGTTCCAGTTTTGATTCGATTCAAGATTTCCAGATTCAAGTTTCATTCAGTATGTATGTTTCAGATTCAAGGTTCAAGATAGTTCAAGTTCAAGTGCTAGTTCAAATACAAGTTCAAGTGCAAGTTCTTTGGAAGTTCTTTAGTTCAAAATAGTTCAAGATAGTTCAAAATAGTTCAAGATAGTTCAAGATAGTTCAAGATAGTTCAAGATAGTTCAAGATAGTTCAAGTGCAAGTTCAAGTGTAAGTTCAAGTGCAAGTTCAAGTGCAAGTTCAAGTGTAAGTTCAAGTGTAAGTTCAAGTGCAAGTTCAAGTTCTTTGGAGAGTTCTTTGGAGAGTTCTTTGGAGAGTTCTTTGGAGAGTTCTTTGGAGAGTTCTTTGGAGAGTTTTTGGAGAGTTCTTTGGAGAGTTCTTTGGAGAGTTCTTTGGAGAGTTCTTTGGAGTGTACCACCCTCGGTCCTGCAAAAGACAGAAAGGAATAGAAAAAAAAATTAATTAAATTCAATAGACACGTCTGGGCAATTCTTGAGAAATCATCAAGGAGCTCGTATCTATTGAAATGAGAATGACTTAATTATTAAATCACTATTGCTTCAAAATAGACTTCCCCTTTAAGTCAACATAGATATGTGCCAGATCCAGCCCCATTCACTTTTTACATGATTGAAAAGCCCTGATAAGGGCTCGTTTGTACCATATTATGAAGTTTATGAATTAATATGGATTATAGATTAGAATCTAGAATATACTTACTTTAATTAGAGCGATGCTGGAAAGTGTGCTTAGATGTTAAGTACTTGTAATCTGGCATTTTCGTAAGTAAGAAGACCAGCCACTATCGCTTTTGCAACAGCGCTGTGTTGTGTGCATCTATTAAATGCAGTGCACAATTTATCGTCACCACTAGTGCGGGCGCGGGTGCCAGCGGTCTATTAAGGCAAGCCGGGATTTGCGGAACCAGAAGATAGTCTCAGTGGAGCATCCCGAGACCAAAATAAAGTCATAGTCATATAGTCATAGTGATAAAACACCCTAAATGTAAAAAATCTGCTCACAAAAACTAAAAGGAAACCAAAACCCAAGGAGAAAATCATCTCATACGAAAGAGTAATATGAGAGAAGCAATTTCAAAAAAGTTTCATCAAAATCGGCTATAAAATAAGAGAGTTATGAAAGTTTGAAAACACTTGTTGTACTTTCTATGGGGATCCTCAAATGGCAACGCAAATACAAATAGTGAGCCCTCATCCAATGCTTAAAGATACTATGTCCCTTTTGCAGCCAACATCAAATTCTGAAGAACTTTGCAGAAATTATGAATATGTCATGTATGTCCTATCTGTCAAATTTAAACATTAGCAGTGTCCTAATATTCATATTATGCAAAGAAACCCGTTTACTTGCTAGACTAGCTTCACTGTCAGACACTATTGAGTGACTCACTGGCTTTTTTCTTCTTTGGTAATAACATACATGTACATAAAATGAGCTGTAAAGGGTATATGAACATTTGTCAACATCAATATCCCACTTCTGCTTGTAATGGCCAAAATTAAACTGATTGAATCTTTGCGCAGCATAAAATGTACGACCATTCGGTACAATGGTCTGAAAATAAGACCATTACTTACTGGCTCTATAGTTCTTAAGTCGATTCGACAACTAATAGTTGTTATTTTCCAACTTAAAGACATTTTCAAGCCCCCCCCCCCTTTTTTTAGGGAAGTTCTAAATTAGTATTATCTTTCAAATGCCGTTGGAATGTAACCTCCTCATTTGTTGGCCTGCAAATGGGACATAGTACCTTTAAAGGTAAAGACCAGTTTTGGTCATGCGATTGCATTGGGACGCTAAACATGTAAACAAAAATTAATGGCCTAACTCAAATCTTTTGGGACCCATAAAATAGCTTTGACTTAGACAAATTTTGATTTAGGAGGGTTATAAAATAATGGGACAAAACAGGATGGGCTACGTGTAGACATTCAACCATAGCAATTTTTGACTTATCCCAGTTCGACTTAGGCAAGGTCACCTGTACTATATGTTTTGCATTGGACTAAAATCAAAATACATCTATACGTTTGCACTAGGTGTTCAATGAAAAAAACTTTTTCTTCTTTATCAACTCCTTACATAATTCACTATGGATTCTCTTCAAATTTTGGCTACACCCAATGGAAGAGTATTATGAATTGTCCACAAAATTATGTTGCATACCTACGGAAGTGTCAAAAATGTTATATAGAAATTTCATTAAGCCATAGCTTTCCTATTCCGCGTTCAATTATGTTCCCAATTATGCAGATCTGTTTCATTCCATTGTAGCTTTAATTTAAAAACTACTTGACTTCAGCCTTCTTAAGCAGATCAACTTACTCTCTGCAACTCTCTGCAACTCTCTGCAACTCTGAAAACAGTCAATAACCTGAAAGAAAAAAGAAAAGAAAAAACAATTGCATTTCATGAAATACCAATATGAATATATTACACAAATAAATACAAATAGTGAGCCCTCATCCAATGCTTAAAGATACTATGTCGGTCCCTTTTGCAGCCAACATCAAATTATGTAGAACTTTGCAGAAATTATGAATATGTCATGTATGTCCTATCTGTCAAATTTAAACATTAGCAGTGTCCTAATATTCATATTATGCAAAGAAACCCGTTTACTTGCTATACTAGCTTCCCTGTCAGACACTATTGAGTGACTCACTGGCTTTTTTCTTCTTTGGTAATAACATACATGTACATAAAATGAGCTGTAAGGGTATATGAACATTTGTCAACATCAATATCCCACTTCTGCTTGTAATGGCCAAAATTAAACTGATTGAATCTTTGCGCAGCATAAAATGTACGACCATTCGGTACAATGGTCTGAAAATAAGACCATTACTTACTGGCTCTATAGTTCTTAAGTCGATTCGACAACTAATAGTCGTTATTTTCCAACTTAAAGACATTTTCAAGCCCCCCCCCCCCTTTTTTTAGGGAACTTCTAAATTAGTATTATCTTTCAAATGCCGTTCGAATGTAGCCTTCTCATTTTGTTGGCCTGCAAATGGGACATAGTACCTTTAAAGTAAAGACCAGTTTGGTCATGCGATTGCATTGGGACGCTAAACATGTAAACAAAAATTAATGGCCTAACTCAAATCTTTTGGGACCCATAAAATAGCTTTGACTTAGACAAATTTGATTTAGGAGGGTTATAAAATAATGGGACAAAACAGGATGGGCTACGTGTAGACGTTCAACCATAGCAATTTTTGACTTATCCAAGTTCGACTTAGGCAAGGTCACCTGTACTATATGTATTGCATTGGACTAAAATCAAAATACATCTATCATTTGCACTAGGTGTTTAAACAAACTTTTTCGGAAACGTTGTGGAATCGATCACAAAAGGTTGATCATCTAGCATATACGGTAAGTATTGGTGTGTACTGAAAGGTTGTGGATCATCAAAATGATGAGAAATTTGACCCAGTCATGGTAAAGTTACAAGCACTGTACACAGAAAGATGTATATGGGACTATGCGACACATGCGCGATATCTATCCACTCCGGATAGATATAATTTACCAAATATATCAATTAGTATCAAAATTTGTATCATCAGGTATTAGTCAAAACATATTCTTTCACATGATTGGTAATAAAAGGTACCATTTCATTTTTTGAGAGGGGGGCGTTTCCAAAACTGGTCTATACCTTTACTGACATAATTAAAAGTAACTTGGTAGTGTCCAAAAAGTTATATAGACAATTTCTAAAAGCCATAGCTTTCGTATTCTGCATTCAATTGTTCCCAATTATGCGGATCTGTTTCATTCCGTCATAGCTTTAATTTAAAAACTACTTGACTTCAGCCTTTCTAAGCATATCAACTTACTTTCTGCAACTCTTGAACTCTCAGTAACCTAAAATACAAACAAAAAAAACAAAAAATTACATTTAATAAAATACCAATATGAATATATTACAATAAATACAAATAATGAGCCTCATTCATAATGCAAATGACATAAATAAAACAAGTCAACGCAAAGCATAGCATCCCCTCGCAGGGTACATACTGGGAAATCAAACTTAGCCATGTTTTGATGCCATGTACTTTCATATCAAATTGATTAAAATCCGTCAAAATTACTAAAGTTATCAATTTTCAGAAACCAGATTCGCATATTTAATGAGCTATGACCTTTGACCTATATACTGGGAAATCAAACTTAGGCCGTGTTTTGATTAGGCCTGAGTCATGTCGGGATTTTCATAAACCGGGTCCCGACGGCCTTGCACCTATCGGGACCCGGTGTCCCGAAATCAGCTCGCAGGATTTGTCACTTGCCTCTATAAAAAGCGCATATCATGATTATTATCATCAGTATGTCCCTTAAAAGTGACCTTTTTTATCAATCAAATCAATTAACTAATGCATACCTCGGCTCAGATCGGTATTCTTCCATTTGACATTATTTCATCCATGATTGGCGATGTTTAGTGCCATTATCGTGCCTCTAAAGTAAAAAAACTGGGGCAAAAATAGAATGACAACGTTCCAGCCGCCATTTGATTTATGCAGGTTGAATAAATCTGGTCAAAAAATATGAATGTTTAGAATAATAAAACAGCTTTCTAAAAAATTCTTCTTTACAATATACCGATCATATAATTTTTTAAAGACAAAATAAATATTTATCTCTTATTTTAAACATCGCATGCTTTTTTTTAAAAGCTGAAAATACTTGGTAATCACGAAGTTCGATACGGATAGCTGTTGCAAGGCAAGTTCAGACAGTC